GGGGGGGGGTTGAATTGAGCAATCAATTATTCGACCCGGACTCGCTGACACTTGCTTCGCAAGTCAAACTCAAGGTATCCCCTAAAGGGCTACCTTTCGTGATCTCACAACAAAGAACATATCATAGTGATAGTGAAATCATATTAACAAAATTACGCTTGTGACCAGACCTGTCAGATCTCAAGTGTAGCGCCTGTGTTCAAGCAATCTGCCCAGGACATATCTTCCGCCAGAATCAAATCCTTCCTGGACCGAGAGATCATTGGTCGACCAAGGACTGACTAGTTAGACATGGTTTCACCATTCCATGTACCGACTGCTCGCATCTCCAGTGCAAGATCCATATTACGTACAACAAAAATGCCCATGGCTTTCATTGATGCTTGCGATGGACATAGGTCACAGAAATTCCTTTGCCTGGTGAAGCGTCCCATAACAAAGTCTTTCAGCGGGCGGCTGTGGTCTATCACCATGGCATCTCCGTCGATCCAAACCTGCAGAATTCAAGTGGGTTCAACACCGCTAGGCCTTGTGCACCCGGTCCCACAGTGGATCCAGGGGCAACAGGACGTTACATTGCTGTTACATTCGGATCTCAAGGGCGTGTTGAAGAAGGAAAATCGTCTTGAAAGTATTCTAGCACTGTTCGCGGGTAGGTTGAAAACCCAAATCGGGGGTATTCCGACAACATGTGCTACCTTCAGGACAATGTATATATATATATATTTATATTTATGATGCTTGTGGACACGAGGCTCTTGCAAATCACATCAGGAGCTGTGCTAAGTGCTTCTGTGACACAAAATAATCGACGGTCTGAACAAGCTTCTCCTTCTCCTGATGCCAATGACAGGGCGTGCGGAGTTAGCTATATATATGCTTGATCAAATAGAGTTTTCCGCAACCAAGCAGCCCACTGATAAATCACATGAGCTGCTGCTAATGGGCGACACAACCCGGTTTGACAATTTTCGGTTCTTGATGGGGAAAGTGGCCATCATGCCAATGCGAATGCGAGTGAGGGAAAGGAGTCTCAAAACACAGAACAGAACCACAAACATCCACAGACTACCAACATAGTTTCCGCCTATGTTCCCTTCTGGGCTTTCTGTAGGCTTTGCGGCTTTGCATTGCCTTGCCATCTGGTGCTTGTTTATGTGTCACCTGCGCCCTCGCCGCAAAAAGAACCGTCCTCCTCCCTCAGCCAGGCTCCAAACATCCTTCGGGCTGCGGAGGAGCAGCGCTCGGGGCTGAAGAGCCATGTGAACAGGGCCTCGGTCGTGGGCCCTCGATCGTTGAGGGACATTGGTTAGGATCCTCGGCCTGACAGTGGTCGATGGTGGTGGTGAACAGGTTGTTAAGCCATGAGGATCGGCCGAAATCGGGCCAGCAGGCCCTGTTTGTTGCCAAAGGCCGAGGCCGAAGGTTTCTACCTTTAGGGTCCTTTAGGTGAACCGCCGACCACCGTCAGAAATTTTCCGTGAACCTCGCAGGTCACTGGGGAGAGCGTTCACGGAGGCATGTTTGTGAGATGAAGTTCGATGGATCAACAATGATCAACATCAAAAACGGTGGTACCCTCCATGGCATCAATATGGCTATTTTTAACTGACCGTGGTGCGAGATATGCTGTCCGAGTCCCTTTACATTATCAGCACTTTTAAATTATGGTTGCTCTTCTGCTTTTCCTCCTCCAGACAAAAAGCAATAACAGCAACAAAGACAACCACAAAAGCAACAACAACAACATCTAGTAGTAGTACTACTACTACTTCTTCTACTACTACTACTGTACTAATACTATTACTATTACTACTACAACTACTACTACCACCACTACTACCACTACTACTAATAATACGACTACTACTGCTACTGCTGCTACTACTGCTACTACTGCTACTACTGCTACCACTACGACCACTACGACCACTACCACGACTACCACTACTAGCACTATACTACCACTATACCTTCACGACTACCACTACCACCACTACCACGACTACCACGACTACCACTACGACCACTACCACTACCACTACAACTACGACTACGACTACAACTACTGCTATTACATACACTACTACTACTACTACTACTACTACTACTTACAGTACTACTACTACTTACAGTACTACTACTA